GGAGCTCAGACAACAAGCTGCTCATGTCGGTATCTCATTCCAGGCCTCTGAATAAGGGGACGTTTGTTTGCTCTTCCAGCTATTAGAATCCTTTTGTAGATGAATATGATATACACATGTATAAAGCATTTTATGTGTTCAGGGTGGTGGAGAAGAAGAAGAAAGCTGTGCAGAAGTGTGAGGAACAGCTGCTGAAGATGGAGGTTCAGGCTACAGACAGAGAGGAGAACGAACAGATCACCCTGAGCACCTCCAAACTCAACTGCCTGGATCCACGCATCAGCGTGGCCTGGTGATGATGTTACACTCAAATACACAAACATGCTACACAAGAATCCTCGTTGTATTTCATATTAGAATATGTTCAGTGTTTCTTTACTTTATTTTCTGCTTCTAGGTGTAAGAACATGGAGGTGCCACTGGACAAAATTTACAACAAAACCCTAAGGGATAAGTTTGCCTGGGCTATCGACATGACTGAACATGACTTTGTGTTCTCAGTGTGGTTTGTTTATCTTCCAATATACCCCAGTATTTTATACAAATGTACATTTTAATTGAATCCGTTAACTGAATTGTGCAGCCACGTTTTAATGTTGGCCCTTTTATATTGTTCAGTTTTTATATTAATCAAATTCACATGTTCTAAGTTATTTTAAGAAAGTTCAATAAATGTTCTTCCTTTGTAGGGAAATCCCTAGTCACTTTTTTTTTTTATTGTTACCACAAAAGCTTTTTGGGAGACAAGACTCAAGAAATATCTGGGTTATATTTCACCCCAAAATCAGAGAGAAAAAAAGGAGAGTATAAAAAAAAGAGAATTAAGGTTAACAATAAGATGTTTTTATTTTTGCATTGTCACAAATATGTTCAAAATATATGGTAATTCTCATTAAAATAATGTGAAAAAAATAATACAGTAATGAAAATCATCTGGGCCTGTTCCAGGTTTATTAGATTCTGTACAACATACTTCCATGATTCACAAATGTGTTTTTATTATAAATCTAATGTAAATTATTCATTTAAAATATTACTTATTTTGGGGGAAACTGCTCATGGTTTGACCTTTTTTTTGAGACTGATCTGTTTCTTTATCCAATATAATCTACCAGTATATACCAATACAGGTCTTTTTTCCCAGAGTCCAGATTCAAAAATAGATTTTTCTTGGGTTGGGAGTCTTATCAAGCGATTTAGTCAAATTTTAGCTTAAGCCATTGATGTTCCGCATTATGCGGTAGACCTTTGATAGTGGTATTGTTTCAAATTGCATGTAAAGGTGTTAATCATCATCTTACCCAGCTTAAATATTGATCAGATATAAACAAAGTGACTTACATTTCTAAGAATTCAGTCAGTTTTAGCTTGAGCGTATTTGCCCCAAGAGATTTTGCATGTCAGCATATGTTCCTTTGATATATTTAACTTAATTGCAACTGCTAGAGAGGAGCAGGTGAAACAGTGAAAGATAGTGGTGTTACAGACTACTCAGTTTGTCTTAAGTAGGCTATACCAGTAAAGAGAGATAAGGACACAGGTTTTAAGAAACAACTTTAATTCAACAACAAATTCATTTTAACAGGAATGGTGTTAGGTTGGCACTCGGGCTAGTGCTATTACAGTAATGCAAGGATCGGTTCTACAGTTGGATGTCGTGTTTAAAAAGTTCTTTGCAATCCATTGCAGAAAAAGGAGGGGGGAAAAGAGAGTAGCATACAGTCACAGTATTAGGACTGACTTTAATTCCTTCTAAATATTAAAAAAAAGCATCACATCAAACCAAAATATGTTAGTCACCATAGAGAAAATGTTGCTGCTCCTGAAGAGTGTTTATAGTTTCTTCTACGCAGCATTCTGTGAAAGATAACACTGGATCAGGGCAATGCATTTTAATATAGTATACCAGAATGAAATGCATTTCAAATTTCCATTTAGAATCAGACATTCACAACTGGTTTCAGCTAAAATAGTTTAATCGATAGAAATAAGAAACTACCTCTACTAGGAAGCCTCTCCCTCTTTGACCTTGTTCTCCCCTTCAATCTCTTCCACTCCTGCCTGAGTCATCAGGTCTGCTATATTCTTCTCTAGATCATCGATGCGGGTGCTCATTTCATCAAGTGAATCTTATTAAGGAAGATAGGATCAAGTATAGGTAATACCACTGTTTAAATCCACAGGCATTGAGCGCATAGCTAAAGCAATATCTGCTTGGTAGATTTTGACTAAACAAAATTTGTTTTCTCTACACCTGCATAGTACCAAGTTAAAGCATGTATGCATTTGTAGATAGTTTTATGAACCTGGCCACGGGGTGAATTTTGGTTCTGTGAAAAAATTCAAACTTCAAAGTATCTTGATTTAAAGGTGGGGTAAGCGATTTCTTGTAGCCAATGTTGACATTTGAAGTCACCAAAACAAACACGCCCTACCCCAAAAGTGTCTCGCCCCTATTTTGATAGCTCCACCCCACACATACGTACGCAACCCAGGCAATGATTAGTTCTGTGAAACAAAGCAAAACTGCTGCTGCGTTCCATTCATGACGCATTGACACAAATTTCAAATGATTTTCAACAGTCGCTTTGTCGCGTTCAGTATACTAGACAGACTTTAGCTGTTGCGGCGCAGACACGGTGTTACTCACCTATCGAGAAGAAACAAAGCAACCTCGGCGTCCGATCCTTGAGTTTTCTCCAGCGCTTAAAAGCTGATCCGATATTTACACTGGTCCTACTTCTTGCCTTAATTCTTCTTTTGTTCCGCAGACGTTTTCCTCTTTTGTTTTTTTATCCGCCATCTCTATCTTTCTGTCGCTCGGCTCAGCTAATGTCCATCCCGTGCACTGAACGCGCTCTCCTCCACATCCTGAGTAGACACGCCCCTTACTGCTGATTGGCTACAAGTTTGCTTTGCTATTCGGCCGAATCAGTTTTTAAAAAAAAGCTTACCCCACCTTTAAGAGTCTTTGGACATTTGCACTGGGAAACAAGACAAAATACTGAGGAAGATACTACGTTTTTAGCAGTGTATGCAACATTTAATTCCATGACTATAGATTTAAGATTTTCTGCTCTGATTTAAGACCTTTTTTTTTCATTTGTGGAAGTGCGAATTAATATTTTTTTAAGACATGCAGAAACCCTGTTCCCCCGAGTAGGGCATTTTGCTCTCATTTGTGGACTGTATGCAAAATATAACATTCTCATAAAAACATAAATAGTATTCACTAAATAGCAACTAAACACATTTAAAGACCTCTAAACAGCTTGCTGTGATATTGAAATTACCTCTGGGACTACGACCGCCCCACTGAAAAATAAATTATACAGCTATACTAAAAACAAGAAAGGATATTTCTCCCGATGATCTGGTCTGACATTGTCTGGAACTTATCCTGCATCTGCTGCAGCAATGTCTGTACCTGTTAGGGAGAAACATTGTTAATCCGACGTGTAAAAATGCATAAAGATATGCAAATAAATAAAATAAAAAGATAAAAACAAATAAATCCGCTTGTTTAAGTCACGACAACTATATTCTCAGGAAAAACATCTAATATTAAATATTAAACGACGTTTACGTCGCATCAAAATAATCCAAGTAGAACACATAAACAGGGCCTAGCATTAGCCTAGCTTAGCAAACCACAAAAATATGTCGTTTATTATCAAACCTACCACTGCTGTGAGATCCTGCACTGATTTTGGGTCTGTCTCTGCCATATTTTTCAAATAAATAATCTGTATAACAGCAAATAGATGTTTATTCTTCTCTAAATTGTGTATCTTCCCAGCTCTTTGCCTTTTTCTGATCAGCTGTTGGATAAATCACGGAGTCGTGACAAATATCGCGAGATTTTCGAGACCTCTAAGGGAGAGATTCCCTTTGCTGCAGGCAGGCAAATCAACCTCTGGCGTGATCAAACGATGCACAGTCATTTCATCTATTAAAACCAGTGACAGGTTACAACAGGATAGGACAGAATTTATAAACATAATTCAGCTGATTTTGTTGCGAATTACAAAAATAGTTTAGGGGTTTTTTGCCCCATTTCAGGTGCAGAGATTAGCTACCAAAGTCTGGCCTTTCAGGCAAATTTTCAAAGAAAACAGGCATAGGTAGGTTAATGGGTACATAGAGTGAATGATAAATTCTTTTTTTTAAGTTGTTGTGGGTAAGTTGTTTATTTGTTCAATTTATACATGGTAGCCTATGGCTTACAAAGGACTTTGTTTTGTTTT